TAGATAGATTAATTATTTTTTACTGAATATAAGTCAGTGCTTAACTAAAATGGTGTACCCACGTGATAGTAAATAAATGGTAAATTGCAATTTGTGCATGCATGCATGCGTCTGTGTGTGCGTGCGTGTGTGCAAGTTAGTACACTCTAAGAGCAAATCTCGATGGTGTCTGTCGTCTACAAGCCAACTTCATTTGACATTTAATTATTTAGTTTGTTCCTAATTAAAGTAGATTCTGTTATTTTTCAAACAAAATATATTTTTTTACGAATTGGAAATTGAATTGATTGGAATTGAAATAGAACAACAGGCCAAATCATCATCATGATGATGCCTCGATCTGCTTACTGCTTCCACTATCAAATTCCAATTTGGTACCTAATAATAAATTAGATTTTTTTACTATAATTTTTTTAAAGAAAATTGCAGTATTGTCTTTATAAATATCAAAATCACTCTATTTCAAATTGTCAAACGCAAAAGTTACTAGATAAAGAAACAATAATGCATATACCTATTTATACTTAATACATAAATCTGCTAGGCTAATAACAGCGTTAGACCGTTACCGTCACAATACCGCGTCTGACGGGAAAGGCAACGTGACAGCGTGATGGATTGTACGGCTAATCGTTGGACTCGTCGCGTCGTCGACCCCAGACACGTTATATAAGATTTTTCGTTTATTTACTTCACTATTAGGCTGTTACTTTTATAAATATAAAGATGTTTCGCCTAAATTGTCGCATTGTACTAACAATACATTTCGTAACACAAAGAATAATTTGAACACCTAATAGCGAGATTACATACTTACTAATCTCTAATAGAATTCCACTTGAGTATGCAACGCTTGCTTAAATACATACGTATATTTGCCGATGTGATGTGTATGATTTACTATTTTGTTCTTGTTTAAAAATTTAGAGAGCAAAAAATATAGTTAAGGGTTATATGGGATTATTTTTCAGTCTTTAGTCATTACAGTGTAGCTGTAGCCTTCTTTGTTTATATTTCCGGCTCGAACCGGGGTGGTACCACGACCTCACAGAAAACCAGCGTGAAGTAGAGGTTTACCTCTGCGTTTCGCTTGGTGAGTGCAGGTGGCCGGAGGCCCTTTTTACTGGAAATGAGGCATTCCATCTTAGTCCTCGCGGGTGACAACGCATCTACATTTTGATTTGTAATAGAGGATAGATGTAGATGTCTATGGGCCGCAGCAACTACCTACTTACCATCAGGTGGACTGTGTGCTCGTTTGTCACCCTTATCCTATAAAAAAAAACATGTCTATAATCTCCAGAGGCTAATTTCTATTGGATAATTTTGTAATTTATCTATAAATATCAGCAACTAAGCAGGTAAACCTATCCTAAAAGACCAGTTTTTACTTTCTTCCAATGGCAATCTACAGTATAGAATCCAAAAAATTTAAAATATGAAATGCAGGAAAGAGTTCTGATTTATACGAGTAACAGTTATTAAAGTCGCGTATGTATTAATTGATTACGTCAACATTTTTAGACGTAAAAATTTCACAAATTTTTAATCCGTTGCCGAACTTTTTTGAACTGTAGCCTATATAAAACTTTTCACAAACATTTTATTAGGTATAAATTTAAAAAAATGTCGCTTTAGTTGCGACATATATTAACTAGTCAGGTAGCGACGCCGAATCTGGCATGTTATTAAGTTGGTAATTTAGGCGGGCTTTTGTTTTAATTGAGTTACGACCGGTGTTACCAGCCTTAAGCAGACAATAATATATTGTGAAGACTGAGCGTTAAGGAAGCTTTCATAAAACAAATTAATCTTAAATTATCTAATTTATTTTGATATATTGTGTAAATATTTATAAATTAAATCAGTGGAAAAAATAATTATTGTGGAATGAAAGCCTCGTAGCGGTAAGCAAAGTGTTATAGGTTATAGATTCAGGAAGTTGATGAAAGTTGGTGGCCCCGATGGTGCTTTGTAGTACTTTCCGAGAGAAGCCTATTTTTAGCAATGGGCTGGTAATGGGGTGTAGTGATGATGATAAATAAATAATTTTGACTATTAATAGTTATTGAATTTGTACTATTTTTAAGGCAACACTGATAGGTAAGACGATACGTTCTAAACACAAAACATTAATAATAACCGAGATTATACGTCACGTTAGACAATGAATACATTCTCACGGCTTAATACATGTGTATTTTGGGCCTGTGCGTAATGATTTAATGATATTCTCTTTGATTGTAAAATAGGAAAGTAAAAACATTCCCACGGAAGTATCTGACAGTGACCACCGCGAAAGCCAAAATGGACACATGCAAACGCTCTTTCATTATTTTGCAGTATAGTGGGTTATTACTAATTATAATCGTTATAATGATATTTTGCTGTAACTTTCGTGCATCCAAGTCCAAGGTAATGGATACAGCTTTCAGTTGAAGTGAGTATTCAACTTCATCAATTTGCGACAGGACACTAAGTATAGCACATACGCACATTACACACAATTTTTATGAGTCATTTAAATATTTGGGACCGCATAAATCACTAGACTTTATAGTAGGAGCAGTTTAGACAGCAAACCAGTAAATAAATAGTCGTGGGTCTTGAGTTCGTATCCTAGTTGATCAAACTTTTGATAATGTGTACCTGTCACTGTTTCTTAAACTACATCCTGATCACGTCTGATCTCTCTCCGGTCGTGTCAGTATGCCGTCCCATGGGACTATGAGAGTAAAGTAACAGATAGTGCAACTGTGTTTGAGCATACACTCATGCACTATAACCCTTTTCTCCAAAGAATTGTTATCAAAAAAAAAATACATTCCTTTGCGTATGAAACAACGATGCGGTGTTTAGTGTACATAAACCGTCTGCTATTTGTAACCGGGTATTCGTTAAGAATATCTAATAATTAGTAACTTTGTTCTCATCCTGAATATCTGCATTGCTTTCGCGCAAATTTATTGATATTAACAGTAAACAAATAGTACTATTAGTGAACTATAACCCACCGCATACTTTCTATTTTACTTTGTGTTATAGGTGTCACAAAAGGACAGGCACTAAATTTGTTAGTTATTAATTTATTTATAACTATTTTTTTAAATGTTGTTGCTTAATTTTTTCATAAACATATGAGTGACAAACGAGAATACGGTGCACCTGATAGTAAGTGGATGTTGTGGCCCACAGAATATTATTTTTTATACTCCGTTTTGTAGCCATTAGACACTTACATCTATTTTTGATTAGATATTGTGTTGTAAATTGTAACCCTTAAGGATTAAGTTAGAATGTCTCGTTACTAATAAAAAAGGGTTATCGGATCTCATCACTCATCATATGAATCCAAAAAACTCAATATACCAGCGTAAAAGAAATTACTATTTTGCGCTGGTATATTGTGCATAAGAATCTTAACAGAAGTCAGTTTAGCAGGAGTCGAAACATTATCATTAACAATATTAAAGCCAAACTAGTATTGTTATTATTAATAATTTTCCACAAAATGACATGAATATTTACGATTAACGTTAAAAATCCAGACTTACTTCGGTGTTCATCGATAAATGACACAATGAAATATTGGTTAATAGTGGAATGACTACGAATGGCGACCTCGCTTCCGAAAACCATCACAGACGCGACCGCTACGAAACAAAAAGGCCGCTGCCGCCGGTGCACTTCCGATTGCACTGCCAACGCTGAAAAATTACACGGGGAGCCCTCGCAAATGCAGTTAATATATTACGATTGCTGCCTGCGACCGACGAACTGTTGTTCCTTTTTTTATTTTAAACTTTTATTGTTCACATCGCCTGTTCAGATTTGCATTTGTAATCCGTAGTATGGAATAGTAATCATACCATAACATGCTCACCCATGTCCGATGCAACAGAAGCAATAACATCGGACTTAGGCTGTGATACACTGTTACGGACAGAGGACAATCACAACACAATGACACACATAAACAATCAATTCTTATACTCGAATAAATCTAGAATTAAACTGGGTTAAGGATAATATGCTGCTGCTATAGTCTAGCAGCCAACTTCAAACAAACGTCACGTGGTGTAGCCACGCTACAGATAGCTATGGTTGTAGCACGAATGGGTCGGCTCGACCGAGAAAGCACCACGTACTCACAGGATACCAGCGTTTACCTTTTTACTGAAAACGAGGCATCTCATTTTATTCCTCAAGGGTGACTAGCGTATTTGCATTTCGATTCATAATCGAGAATAGATGTAGATGTTACTCGATTTTTATGATTATTCTATAAAAAAAAACCAGATGCGTTGTCACCTCTGACGACAGAGATAGGATGTCTCAGAACCTGTAATTATACTAGGTATCTATAGTCTTCGGACCGGAACACCGCTGCTGTGGTAGAAGTTCTACCACCAGTGGACAATTCAATGATATTTTTTATCATATTTTTTCACTCATATCTTAAGCAATCTTTCTTATTTGCGTCATTGTAAATAGGGCTAGCGCTATTTACGTTAGCAGGCCATGGGACTCCTCTAAATTATACTTATTATAACTGTTATTGGCGGCAGCCGTTCTAGACGCGATATTAATGTAACGGGACTAACTGATCTATGTCGCACGATCTACAAAATAAAAGCCCATGAATTCTTTTTGATTTTTCTTGATATCCACTATTAAGACATCAATAAGATGAGATAGGGTGTGTTTGCTACTTCCATACGGGATTATTATGCAAAATATGTTATAAAAAAATGTTATAAAGCTATAACTAAAAAGCCGAAATTTTAATATGCACAATCTGCACAGTTGGCAGCTCACCAACCCTCATATGGTGAGAGAAGACGGGTTCCAGTATCAACTTAAAATAAACCTTTGGACTGGGATCCTAAACGGCAACATCATCGGTCCATTCGAATTATCAGGAACCTTGACCGCAGAGAGCTATTTGCATTTTTTAAGACACTTTATTGGAAAACGTTTCGTTAGTAGAGAGAAGAAGAATGTGGCTGCAGCACGATGGTTGCCCCGCCCATTACGCCCGTAGCGTTCGAGACTATCTCGACGAAATGTATCCCAGAAGATGGATCGGGCGATTAGGGAAAATTTTGTGGCCCCCACGATCACCGGACCTTAACTCACTCGACTTTTTTTACTGGGGATGCCTCAAAGAGAAGGTCTACAAAGATCTTATTACCTCAGTGGACCAGCTACGGAAGCGTGTGCAAATGGCTGCACAAAAAATTACTGAAATAAGACATGCAAGCAAAATAAAGCGATCATTCATTAGAAGGTGTAGAGCATTTATTAGAGCTCATGGTGGCCACTTTGAACACGTTTTGTAAAATTTAATTTAATAAAACGATATTTTAAAATTGTTATTTTCTCTCGTTTTCCTTCATTATTAAATCCCACAGTTATGAAATCAATATTTTTAACTTAATTTCAAATAACGGAATTTTCAAAAGGGAATAGAAGATATTTTAGCCCTGATGGTATTACAAAAATTCCTCAAATAGGATTTTAATATAAACACAAAAAGTTTGCAATATGTATAACAGACCTTAAGAAAAATGTTTGTGAGACAATATAGATGAGTATGACCCCGACAGACGCAATCGCAATTTTTCAATGTTATCGTTCATTACTTAATGTCCGAAAAGCTAATGGGTTCATGCGCTACAAATCTTTTCCGTGCGTAATGAATACACTAATTCTGTTAAGAGACTCACCTCGTGACGTCCTTCAACCTTCCGAGAAGCAATGACGCCGCACGGATTTGCCAAAAAAATCTCCACAATTACAACTTTGTTGCCCAAAACGCTGTATCGTTCGAAGAACGAAATGGGAACTTTCTTTTGTTTTCTCACCGCTCTCGGAGCGAGGCAAATCAGCTCGGCGACAATTTTTGTTCTCGCTTCCAGTGGGCACATGTTTTGACAATGTCTTTTTCTCCTAAATTTTTTGTGGACTTTTTAATTACTTAAGTTTGTAACAAATTGTAAATCACTTGTAAAACAATAGCAACAAACCAGACAACATTATTTAAGTAAATATTTAGAGAACTTAAGTAAGGCAGATAGCATTAGAAATAGTTCGTGAATGTTTTGAATAAACATATATTTATGCTTGGACTCACTAGCGACGTCGTTGCAAACCGGACAAAAGAGAGACGGATGAGCAGAAAAGCAATAGCCACGATAACGTATAGAAGAAGACGATGGACATATGTTTATGTTTGACTACTTATCAACCTTTATACAAACAGTAAATTTAAGTTTGTACTTATCTAGAACTTTATTAATTGTATTAATAAAAAATTGTGAAAAGACATCATTTAATTAGTATGAGGGGTATCTATATAGTTTTCTCATCTGGTTGGGCTGTATAAATATATAATTGTAAATGAAAATGATAAACATACATAAATATCAACAAAATAAAATAAATACATAAAAAATACATAAATGAATAAACACCCAACCAGATGGAAGCCCTCGGCAGGGGAGACCAATAATTATTATTATTATTGTACTTTCGTTGGCGTAAACTGTAAAATTTATGTAAATCTTATGTTAGAAATCCAAAATAACAACGAAACAAAAGTGTCACATATAAAACAGTTGTTTTAAACTAAAAGTTAATTACACAAACGGGTACTCAAATAATATTTTAAAATATAATAAGATAGTCTGCTATCTAATCTATCACCGTATGTCACTTGTTATGTTGTACGTTTTTATTTATTTTTGACCAAAATTAGAAAGAAATATTTAATTTTTCGGATGTATAAAGGAAGGAGGACATGATGACATGACATGCTTTGTGGCATTCTTTGGGGGAGGCCTATGTTCAGCAGTGGACTTGTGAAGGGCTGTAATGATGATGATGATGATGATATAACAATATTTGTGTACATCACCTTAAGCATATAAGTGTATTTTATGTGGTTGGGCCACGTTGGATGTCTCAACCGGGGAAGAACCATGCTCGCATGGACTGGCAGCATGAAATAGCAGCTTATTGCCGCTGCGTTTTGTATGACGAAGACCGAGCGCATTCTGATGAACGTGTATCATTTTATTAATTAACAAGAGATCAATCATATCTGATGCCTTGACCTTTCAGATAATATTTTCACTTATTACACTAAGCCTCTCGCCCAAAGAACCTAAAAGTACCTAAACTCTCGATATGGTTCTTGGGCGAGTCATATGCGTAAATGCGACATGATTATTGATATAGAAGTAAACTATCTAAAATAAAATAACACCTTAATGCTTAGATATTTGTACTAAACTCAACCGGTTCTCTTATGCTCTATATAGACTTGGAACAATTGTGAATCAATCTGCCGTCATCACAGCGTACCACGGTTATGTAGAATCAGTGTTAAGGTATGGTGTCATCTGATGATGATTTGGAGTAACTCTGTAGACAATGAAATGATATTTAGAGCCCAAAAGAGATGTGTAAGGGCCATTGTGAAGTTAAAACAGACGGATAGTTGTAAACCATTTTTTATTAGTCTGAAACTGTTAACACTTCCGTGCCTTTATATATATGAGATAGCCGTTTTTGTTATTACGCATATTTCTTTATTTGAGTGCCTACACAGTAAACGTAATAATCAAAAAATATGTTTTCCATCAAACAAAACAGCCCAATTTAACAACAGTGTATTTTGTATGGCCCCTAGAATTTATAACCATTTACCATTACACATTTTGAGATGCTCCAATATAGATAAGTTTAAAATACTATTGAAGCAATTTCTTCTTAATAAGGCATACTACAGTGTGAAAAAATATCTCGAAGACAAATATGAAATTCAATAATTGACTGTTACATGACTGAGAATAACTAAATTGACTTGACTTATACAATATTATCTAAATTGACTTATCGCTATTATTTTTGATTTTGTATCATGTGAATTCCAATTTTAACTAGAGACTGTTTAAGTAATTTAATATAAAAGTAATAAAATGTGATGGACATTGCATGCCAAATGGCGAAATATAGCTGTACTAAATGTTTGTTCTATAAGTGATAAACTACGTAAACACCAACTGTATCAACCTATATTCGCAATAAACGATTTGAATTTGAAAAAATTTTAATTTACTACTAACTATTAAGATTTTCATGACGGAAATTTTTGTTTTTAACAATATTAAGTGGATGTCGAACATTGTAACGCGTGTGTAAATACTGTGGACTAATGCCCAAGGTAAGGGATTTAACAGTGAGCTATAACGAGACTGCTTACATTTAATGTCTTCCAATTACAGTCTTCACTCGCTTTAACGATTTCGCTGAGCATTAACTATTCCAATTTTATGTTTCAGTCGTTTTGAAACGCGAAATTCTTGGAGTGAGTTATCTTTTTTAAATAAATTTACAACTAGGTATCTCTACTGCAGACAACATAATAGCGACGTTCGAACGAATATTGATAAACAAAAGTAAATTGATTTCTTATGATACTACAATCATACGTAGAAGTTATATTTGGCGAGCATTTTTTTTAAATAACTTTTTTTATTAATTTCAAATGTGTTCGTATTTTGGCCTTATGAAGCTTGTAAATTGGAGTTGTTCTTTAATGGAATTCCCGGTGGCGGCAAAATTAGATTTCTCAATTTCTTAATTTTAAATGCATTATGCACTTATTCAAAAGGTGTCGGATCCATAGCTCCTCGTTTCTTCACCTTTGTCTCGGTCTTGGTGACTTACGAATTTTATTATCTATGGCTTAAAATGATATATGACCGCACTTAACTTGAGAATCATAAAATATTTTCTGTTTGTGAAATATTTCTGAAGCAATAAAGCAATAATTCACTACGGGACTACGAAGAAGATGGCGGGCTTTATTTGCCATCGTAAACGGTCTGTTTATGGTGTACTTTTTTGCCGTTTGTGCCCGTGGTGCCTGCGTACGCGCCTGCACATAAACCTCTCCTTTATCATTGCCGTGATTGAAGAACTCGCACTTTATGTTTTAGCATACATTTATACAATTACACAAAACTTTATAATTATTCATTAACCTATGATAGATGCCACGAACATATGTTATCATGAAGTAAATCAGATCTGACAAGAAGGCCTCAATCGTTAGAGCGTCGGTGTTTCTCAGCCAACTGCAGATGAGTGTGAAACTTTAGAAGTGACGACGGGGGGCTCCATTAGTCAGCGTGATTATTTCTCGAGAGCGTTAATGTTTCAATGAGATGAATAATCGCCGGGTACAGTGACAAATGCCTCGTCGGTCTCAGCGCGCGCGCACCTGACGCCCCTCCGCTCCTAACCTTTAAACGTACCGCTGAACGCCTTCACTCAGAATATGAGGTGTTATGTGTAACTGATAAAGTGATTTATATTCATCACGAATAATGGTACCATGATTTAAGTGGCCTTGTGTTTTTTTACTCTGATAATGATAAGAAAACTCGTGTTAAAATTGTTAATAATATGTTGTTTTAGAGAAACTTTCGGATAATTTAAAAAACCATGCAGGAATGGCAAACCTTTTATAGCAAGTATCTTTCTCTCTAGCTTTGTGATATGGTCACCCTGATTGTTGATAAATGACTCAGCTTACGCATTCGAAGTCAAGGGTTAAAGCCGGCTGCGACTGCGATCTAATGTCGATATCTTTTTCACGCATTCGGCCCACGACGGCGTCGGTATTTTGGAACACCTCAAATAAGGCCCTGTATAGTTAGGCTGTAATTTAATATTGATTGCAATATTTACCACCAACCACCTATTTTCAATTATTAACAACTCTATCAGTCTACGAGTAGTCACCGCCCGTTCGCACCATCGGTTTGCAAGTGCTGCACGCGATTTTATTTAATAGAATAATGGTGACAAATGTGCGCACAGGTCTCCTGATGGTAAGTGGGTGATGTGGCCCATAAACATCTAGATTTATCCTCGATTAAGAATGATAATGCAGATGCGTTGTCACACCTGAGAACTAAGATGAAATGCCTTGTTTCCATTAAAAAGGACCTCCGATTCTCAACACTCACCATACCAAACACAGCAGCATAAGCTGCTATTTTACATTGGTATTCGAAGGTGTTGTCATTCCGCGGTCGAGCCAATCTATTCGTACTACAACCAAAATGATAGCTGCAGCGTGGTTCCACCTCAAATAAAACACCTGGACTTATCGAGGGTGCGTGAACTTACTTATAATAAAAAGAAATATCATTAAAATTTACTACATTTTTCATTTATTTTACAATAAGAGACCATTATACAGAATGTAATAAACTAAACAAAATTACGAAGCGCAAAGTGAGATCTACAGTCAGTCACAGACAGA